CCCCAGGTCAAAGGCAGCACCCCAACACAGTTAGTCCCACTGTCTATGCCTCAGTTGGTCCCAGTCTCCTCCATCCAAACTTCTTCCACCATCTCTTTTCCCCAAGTGGTACCTGCCAGTCCTTCTCTCTCCATCCCTTCTGCTGGAGTGCCCCTACAGATCCTGACTTCAGCTCCGACAGCTGGAGGGGTTGCACAGGGTCCTGTCAGGGTAAACCAGCTGAGGCCCATTCAGACTGTGGGTTCGCCAACCAGTGTGGCCCCTGCAGTGCAGCTCCTAAACTCTGGGATCATTCAACTACCCTCTGCTCCACCAGGTAGGCTGAATTCATTAGATACTTGCAAATACAGAACACAGAGCTGAAAGGATTAGTGAGGTGACAAGAAGTAACTGGATTCAATTCAATAATTTTTCAAGCAAAACTTCTCTACTTCCAGCCTGTCAGGTGTATTGATTTGATTTGTTTTTTTTCATAAATGATACTGAACTCTCTCTATATATATATTCATAGTTGTAGATCCAACTCTTGTTGACCGTGATGATTCTCAACATAAAGGTTGGGTCATCCCAAGTCTGTTGACAGAGATCCTTACAGACTTTGACATGGTGCTGCTTCTACACATCCAGTCACAAATGAACACCTGCAAGTAGTCACAAAAGTATGTGTATCACAGATCCCAATGTATCTCATTATATCGTGACTCAGTGGAGTTACTGCTCACACCTGTTGCATTTACATGACCGCGGCTGTGCTCTGTCTGTGTGAGTCTTGAATCAGAAATTTTTGATCATACCTCTTAGTGAAGGTAAGCTTGAGGTTTTGTAAGTGTGGACTAATCTGTTGATTATTTTCTTAATAAACCAAATATTGATTTGGTCTAGAAAGAGAATATAATGGAAACTGTTGATCAACGTTAACAAGGTGAAGCTATCATGTTTTTTGTTCTGTCTTACTACCAGTCCAAAATCTACACATATTCAGTTTACTGTCTCACAAGACAATGAAAAGCACCTATCACGAATTATGTGCAGGAGCTGGAGAATGGCATTTTAGCTTTAAAATATTGCTTTGATAAATTGATCAACTGCTGTAGATTAGTCGATTCATTTTCTGTTTTATCACTAACATTGTAATATAACACAACACTTTAACAAAGTTTAAAAAATACGTTCTTTTACAAAATAGTGCATCTTAGCCTGTTAATAGTTACGAGTTTTTCAATTAAAATAACAGCACCAAGACAGACAGAATATGATCTTGCTTGCGAGACTAATTTTTCCTTATTCAAAATGTTTATTCTGTGAAACAAGTGCTGAAAAATTATTTGTACTAATATTGATGCAACATCTCCTCCATCTGGCCTCTTATTGTGATGTTGTTACACAGTCTTGACCGCTGTCAGTTAATCATTTATCATTCAACACTGTAGGTAACCTCCTCCTCGGTGGAAGCCCCTACCTGAGTGTCCAGCAAGGCAAGCTAATTCTGACCATCCCAGCAGGCATTCAGCTCACCAGTTTGCCCCTGAAGCCAGTCCCTGATGCTTCACCCATATCTGTAAATGGAGTGAGTCCCATTCTCAACCCCTCTACCCCTCCAGTGACCTCCCAGCCTTCAGCCACCTCAGGCCCGACCCCCAGTGGCCTCACATCATCCCCCCTGAACTTCATCAACTCGTCTCCACCCTATTGTGCTCCAGACACTGCAATCGTAACCAGCCAGACACCTGCCGTCCCCTCCCCTCATACGCTGGACCATTCAGTCACCCCCACTCCACCGAACACTCTTACTCCAGAAAGCATGCTCACCCTCAGTCCCATGTACAGTGGAGTGACACCCAACGTCCACTTGTCCCAGCCAGCGTGGAGCCCAGTGCCCCTCTCCACATCCGGCAGTCTAACTCTGTTTGACGTCCGTGGCAAGGGGGACCTACCCGTAGATCCAGCTTTGTTAGGCCTACCTGGAGGAGAGTCGCTGCTTCTGGGAAGCCCCTCTCCAGAGCAGGATGTGGAAGCCGGCTCTCCACTGGGGAATCCAGAGGAGATGGATGGGGACTCCAAGATCCTGACTCAGCTGCAGTCTGTCCCTGTGGATGATGAGCTGGGATTGTAGCCTGTTTACAGTGCGGGCTGGCAACCCCATGTCCCTGACAACAAAAGCGACAGAACATACACTAGACTTTGCTGTTTGTTTTTTACTGACCTGAAAGATTTGATTCCACATCGTCAATCTTTTAAGACCTACATGTCTTCTGCAACATATTTAAGTTCTGACATGTGCAACAGTGCTTTCTTATACCATCATGGTATCAGCTGGCACTTTTGAGTCCTCTGCAGCTCTACTTCATATAAATGTGCAGGCTCATTTGGGATACTCACCTGCTGGTTCAACATCAGATTATTCTTCTGGGTTTTGAGTGAGAATTTTGTATCTCAGAGGTTTTAACTAAATCTGTTCGTGCCTTACTTGCTATATCAGACCCAGACAGAAGAAATACCATGGATTAGTCTGCTTGGCCCACTTACAGGTCCTGGTGTAAAGAAAAAAGACTGTATTATACAACAGGACATGGTTTTGCCTGTTCTCTCAGCTCTTCTTTGCAGTTTTGTGGACTGCAGACCAAATTCAGCTGTACTACGTCTGGGGGGGTTTTGCTGGCAGAAGAAGTAGCACATTGTGGATCCACCACAATGACGACAAACCAGACTGTCTGGCAAAGAGAACAAAACTGAAAATAGTTCTCTGTCTTTTCAGAATGCAGCATATTCAGTTTTCTTTTTCCTGCTCAGAGCCTGACTCTTTTATACTACCAACACTCCAGGAATACAGTGAAGAAAATATTTCTCCGGAACAGAGGATGAGCAGGTTCAGGTTTATGTGAAACTATGACCATTATTACATCATAGCTTCAAGAGCTACACAGCAGTATTTTGTTACTACAAGTTGCTGAAGTCAGGGTTGAAACATGCAGCCTGACTGCATATGATCAGTAATCTGTTGTTCATTATGTTCTGCAGTTTTCAAGTGAGAATTCTGCCCTACGATGGTAAAACTACAACACAGGAAATAAAGGGTTCATGAAAGGGTTTTACTCTATGCAATGTATGTTTAGTTCTTTATAGGACACTATGTCGCACAACGGCTGCGTCAGAAAGCCAGTACATTTGGGAGAAGAAAAGAAACTTTGAAATGCTGAGCTTCTAAATGAAGCGTGTCAGTGCATTACACTAAAACATTTGCTGTGATCCAACTGATATTTCTTGTAAAATGCATCCAAAATCTCAGTATGTTGATACTGATAAGTGCCTTATTTTAAAGCTTACAGGTTTGATGTTTTTTTTAAAAAAAAATGTTGTGAATTTTTACACTATTATTTTATGATTGCTATGTACCCAACCAAATTGCTTGATTCACTTCATATGGACTTTTTAGAATACCCACATTTCTGTAGTTTGATTTTCAGTGAAACAAAATGTGACACTTTTGGTAGTCATAGCTTGGTCTCATGTTTTTGTATATTTTGCACATTTCATCCACATGATGTTTACGCTGCGCTGCCATGGTGCTATGACAGTGATTTGACTCATAATCTGCTCTAAATTGTATAATATTTCCTAATTGGACCTTAGTAATTGTTGCTGGGCAAGATGAGTTTGAGAGATAAATTAGAAAACAGAATTTCCTAATGAAATCTGTTGTAAACAGATGGAGAAAATATAGTTATATCTAAAATAAAGTGATTTTCTGTTGTCATTACACAGGTAGCGGCCAAACATTTGGCCAGTTACGGTACACAAAAATACACTTGGGTGTCACATCTAGTTACAATAATGGCCTGTGTGTGTTTTTATTAGTGTTTGTTTGTCTCTTTTGTACATTTAATCTATTTAAAGCATGTATCAATCAGTTTCTAGTTCTAACTGAAAGTAAATGAGTCCTTGTGAAAATAGGAAATGATATTCATTTTCACTCGGAAGGTCACGTTGTAGTGCAACCTGAGTTTTTACAGTCTGCAGGTATTAAATGCATCTAGAGGTCATTGATACTAAATTTTGAGATGGGTCACGTAATGTTGATACATTTTGAGGTGGTGTGTTCCCAGTGGCCTTTCAGAATTTCATCAAATGGCTTTGACAAATCAATTTCAGCCTAAATTTTGTTGAACTTTTAGTTAGGCGTAAAAGGGAAGTGTGTCCATGTGTTGGCTTGTGTTTGTTTATTTTAGCCATTTTTTTTTTTTTTTTTACCAAAGTATGTTGACATTAAAGCCTGCAAGGGCTTAAGCACATTTGTACCCACACGTTTGTTCGTAGCCTGGGATTTGTTTTTACTCTACCTGACACATAACGTATACGACTCCAGATTTAACCAAAGATATTGTATGCTGATCGACTTTTTTATAGTTTTGAAAGGGATCATTTGTGTCTGTTATTCATGGTTTTTGTTTTCTCATTTTTGTATTCAAATGCATTCTATTTTTTATATTACATGATATTGTAATAAACTACATTTACAAAAAAAGTGTTCATTGTGAGCGTCTTAACATCATAAAATTATGAATTATTGTCGGCATTAAAACTGTTGGTCGTAGGATTTTGTTTCTAATTTGGCAAGAAAATTATATTCAAATGCATTTTTTTCTGCATTGTGTAGCTATGATGCTCTCTCTCTCTCTGGGTGAATGTCAGTACAATAGCAAAGGTCCAAAATGTGTGTGAGGGCGTGCATGCATGTGTTTGTACAAGAGAAGGAGGGATATATGGCATGTTATTATAACCCTGATGGTCTCAGGTTACCTGTACCAGGGTATGATGATGAGTAATGCTAAACACACATTCACTTAGGTTTTGTTCATCCACAGACAAGCCATAATGCTCGACAGGGGTTTCAGCTCTCTCCCAAACAAACTCAAGAGAAATTATTAGAAGATAATTTCACGCAGTCTTTAATTCAACTTACATCTCAGGACTTCTGGTGCCACCATCGTGCTTTCACAGCGATGATCTTCACAGCAGAGCAGGTCACTTGTGTGTGTGAGGTCCTGCTGCAGAGCGGTTGCATGGATCGTCTCGCCAGCTTCCTCCACAGTCTTCCTCCTTCCTCCTCCTCCTCTTTGAGCCCTGGGGAGCTGGAGAGCGTGCTGAAAGCAAAAGCCGCGGTGGCCTTTCACCAGGGGCGCTTCTCGGACCTCTACACCCTGCTGGAGGGCTTCCCTTTCTCCCCACGCAGCCACCCGCTCCTGCAGCAACTCTGGCTGCGAGCCCACTACATGGAGGCCGAGAGGCAGAGGGGCCGACCCCTGGGAGCTGTGGGGAAGTATCGCATAAGGAGAAAGTTTCCTCTACCAAACACCATCTGGGATGGAGAGGAGACCAGCTACTGCTTCAAAGTAGGCAAAATCTTGTATTAAATGTGCTCCCTAACCGCTATGTAGCTGTTGAGTACCTAAGTACATTTAGGTCAATCCAGTTTTACAGTACTTGTGCTATCTTTAACCCTATTCAGGACTTTTGGGGTCTTTTGGACTCCAGGCCATTTGGTTTCGGTGACAAGTATTGTTTTTTTTGTTTTTTGTTTTTTTAAAAGAGGGACATTTGTCATGCAGTTGGAACCAAAAATATGTCAACTTTCAGAAAATGTATTTAACATAGTATAAAAGTCTATAATGAATACCAACAAATATTTTGCACATATTCTTTCTTGGGGTCCAATGGACCCTGAAAGATCATCTATGTATGGCAACATGAAAGTCCTGAATAAGGTTAAATGTTTTATTCTACCTTAAACATCTACTTCATCATATTTCATATCCACATTTTACTCCACTACATTCACCTGACATCATTAGACACTTTTCAGGTTCAAACTTTGCATAAAAAATACATGACCTCCATTAAACATGATTGTTTGTTTTAGATTAACATACTCCTCTTTTACATGGCTAAAGCATGCTTTACATCAACCAGCAACAATTGTAAAATGCTTTTATTATGATATAACTTATAGTGATATGATCCAATCCATTTTTTGTAATTTTTTGGCTGTTCTTCTTTTTGAAAGCAGGTTAGTTGTTTAATTTTATTAGTATCTGACATTTACTGAAAATCTCTATGGTCCCCTTACTCCCAGGCATTAATTTTACTTATGTAGATTTATATTTTCTTCTTTTCAAATGCTTGCTGGCATTCACAGAAAAAGAAAAAGAAGATAAAAAGTCACCACTTTAATTTACACAAAGTACACATATTATTAGGTATTGGTGATTCAAGATTTTGTCCCCTGCATGTATATGCACAGGACGGACAAAATATCAGGTACATCTTTAAATTAAAACATAATGTGCAACATACTAAAATATTTACGTCTTCTATCACTAAACACCTTTAGAATATAATCCAGAGGTGAAATGGTCTTAACTGCTCAAAAAGAGAAAGCTGGAGGGTCAGTGGGAGAAAGCCATGTGGTTTAAAAATGAAATGTGGGTCTTCATTACAGTACAGAATTTATATTCTTACAGCAAATGTGTTGCAGGGCTACAGTCCAGAGTCTGTGGTGTTTGGATATTAAAGGTTTGTCTACAGTAAATTAGGAATATGTGTTATTAGACAGATTCAACATAGATGCCGCATTTTTACAACCGTGGGCCAAATGAAGGCTGGTGACCAGAAAAGCACAACACTTTCATAAATCTGAAACATATTCCTGGAGGACTTTTTATACTCATATGGATTCAGAATAAGAAATGGCAAAACCAATTTACATAATATCTACTTTTAAGTCCTTCAGTGGCAGCATAGACTCCAACATGTCCATTCTGTACCACTTTATACATCCGCTGGAGTTTCTCTAAGCGTTTGAACAAGGCTTACAGGTGTATTTGAGTTGCAATAATTTGATTTTACTTAAGTTATTTTAAACTCACAAACAGGAGAAATCGCGGACTATCCTCAGAGACTGGTACCACCGTAAGCCGTACCCGTCCACCCGGGAGAAGAGGGAGCTGGCGGCGGCCACCGGCCTCTCAGCCACGCAGGTCAGCAACTGGTTCAAGAACCGCCGGCAGAGGGACCGAGCTACCGACGGTACCGGGTCCGTAGTTCGAACCATAGCGTTTAATTCATGTAATGCTTTCTTATGAACCAACGGCAACTTCCCTCTCCAGAAATATTGACGGTAAAAATAATCACAGCTGATCAGGACTCACCTTAATCAAAGGGAGCGGATGGATACCAGGTGACCGAACTGACCCTTGGTGTTTGGCATTGCGCCATGAACAAAATAGTTGTACTTTCCGAATAAATTAAAACTCGCATTAATGAAATCAATATATACGCGTTATACAGGGTTGTCATATATGCCATGGAATGTAATGCAATTGATCAGAAATCGATTAAATTAAAACACCGCGGAGTGATACAACAAACTACTGCATTAGTGAACCAACCTGGTTTTGCGGCCTTTAAACCAAGATAAACTAGGCCCCCTGTGTCCCTAGTTGATAAAAAAAAAAGTGACTTATTCTTCATTTTTATGTGACCTAAACAAAACATACACCAAGACACAGCAATGACTATTTTATTTAAATAATATTTCCATGCGCAGACCATCATGGTCCATAAATAATCTTTGTTTTTCTTGCTTTTGTCCTGTTATTCTCCAGTTTAAGAGTTGAGGAAGGGCCAAGTGGATGTTCTGCAGAAATAACGTTTTGCCTTTCTAGTTTTACAACCACATAACCATCTAAAAGAGAGCCAAAACATTCCAGTCTGCGCCTTTTTTTTTTTGTGCAAAATTGCACAATTGCATATAAAAAACAATTGAATTTCAAAGTAAGAGTTGCTTAAGGGGAAATGTTGGGTTTCTCTCTGTGAAGTGCCTTGAAAAAGACATGTGTTTTGATTTGGTGCTGCATATATTGATCATTCTGTTGCACAAATTGGATTTCAGGTAGTAGCACCCTCTTGTGGTTAAAAAAAGAACATGAAAAATGATCAAATACTGTGGTTTTCTTGCATTTTTCTGATGCTCCCCATCTCCTTCCTTTAGTTTCCAAACACTGGGCCCTGGAGGAGCTCCAGAAGAGGCCTACCGTTCCTCTGACAACGACCTTTCACCTCCATGCAGCCCAGCTCCCCCATACTGCCTCCGCCCTCCACCTCCACCGCTCTTCCATCTCCCACCTCCTCTACATCACACATGTGGAGGCCTTTAAAATGTATAATTAGTCACTTGCGTCATTTAGTGGATGCATCATTTTACTCCTCCTTTAATGTAAAGTCTCTTTTCTCATGTTTATAACCAAAACATGACTTAGCAGACACCATACCATGACTTAAACATACACAGAACACCGTACAAGACAGACATTAAAAGTAAGCATCATATGGCTGCATTAAATTCAACATATCCATTCACAGATGTGCCGTTACGCCCTGCGGTGGATCTCCACACTGTTATTCACACACGGCACCAAAACATTTAAAACAATCAGGTTTTTCAGCTTGTTAAAGGGAAGATGAGACAAGACAATGCTGGTAAAATGTTCCCAAGTGTTATGTGTGCAGAAGCTACAGGATTTATCAGGAAACAGCATATTTCAGTGTTTATAACTTCCCCCACAAATGTCACGAGAACCTAAATAAAATAATTTTAACTTCATGACAGACTTCATTACATGTTTAACGTGGTGTGAAATGAACATCTGTTGGCTTTGACTTAACATCATTATGATGTTAGTTTATGTAGCTAGCGCTTGCTAAGAGCTGAGGCCAAGAGGATCTCCACTGATGTGAAGGTATGAGGAGAAATAATTCACAGATATGAACTAGCTGTCATTCACCATCATCACTGTCTGACCAGTGTTTACAGCAGCTCAGCTGATTATAAGTCTGTCTTTAAGACAAAGTGCATTGCCATCATATTAACAGGGTAAATTATTGATAAGGCTAATAAGGCTTTTCTTTTTCACAGGAACAAAGCAAAAATATTAATTTAGAGTGCTGCTCAAGTTACAGACACATTTACTAGCTGCTCCTTGGGTACAATCCACATTAGCTCGTACCTACATCTTAACTGAGAGTCCACTTCATATGTCATTTCAACAGGCTATCCAACTCCTCCATCACATGAAAACAAAGGCAGACCAGCAGGGATGAGTTTTTGGTAAAGTTCACCTGGTATTCCAGTCCAGTTTAGTTCATTCCACCAGAGTCTTCTCTTGGGTACCTGGTTATTTGTCATAAGACCTTCAGCACAGTTATTTGTGCTGTATTGTTCAGAAGCCCAGGTATTCTGCCAGAAACACAGCCATGATCTTAGTCAGGTTCTCTACAGTCGGTCGGTGCATGTTCTCCTCTGTGTCGTCCAGTGTATGCCAGAACTGTGGGAAGGGAGTGGCGATGACATGCAGCACAGGGACGCCTGTAGGGGGAATATGAAGCTGGTGACTGACAGCATGTGATAACAAATACATCCTAATGGAGATGGTCTATCAATAGCAACACAATTTATTTAATGAGGAAAGTGCATTAACAGAGAAGTAAACACAATCACACACTATAGTTCTGCTATGTAACATATGACATGACATGACACTCATTTGGAATGTTCTTTTTGACTGTGGAGACTTGAACTAAATACATTAACCGCCTACAGCAACAAGAGGCCCTGCTATCGTACAAGTGCCTAAAGGTTTAAGGTGCAGCTTGGCAGAGATTCAACTCTACAGACTTCAGTGGGGAGTTTATTTCACAAGTGTAGCGCCATAACAGAAGAGAGGCTCAACAGAGAACGAGACCACAAGGCCCTCTGAGAGATGGAGTGGTTTGGAGTGTAGGGTTTAATCATGGCTTTAAGACAGGAGAGAGTGGTTCCTATTAATGCTCTGTAGGCCAGCAACACAGTCTGGAGCTGAAACTGAGCTGCAAAAAGGAAGCAAGAGTGGAGCAGAGTTCCTGCCCATTTTCCATTCAAAATACTTTACAAGACTCAGATTTCAAGTTTTTCCAGACCATAAGACATCTGAGTCCAACTGTCAACATGTTCTATTCTGATTATGTATGCTTTTATGATGCCAAATAATTGCCAGAAGACAGTAGCTCAAGGCATACAGACTAATTAACACCAAACTCAGACAAGTTCCATTCAGTGTTTTAATTCAGTGCTAAAATGGAAGCACAGCAACATCTTGCCCAAAGAGGGCCACTGCTACCCGAACTTTGAATCTTTTCCCTTAGCATACTGAAAAAATAAAACCCCCCGGCCCATATTTTTAGTCTCTTTACAAACAAGAACCAAAAATGAGTTGAACAAAAGCGTCTTTGTGCTGTTTTGTGTATTTACTGTACTCTTGGAACTATAATATCATATGATCATATGAGCATGATGTCCTTATGCAGAAAAGATAGCTCACTGATCTGATAACATCATTGCATGGCTCAGGAATGTTCAGACAAGCTTGATTTTGTCATGCTATGTAAAGATGCAAATCAAAGATATTGCGGCAACTGCTATAAAACTGATTTGGTTGTAGATGTCCAAATTTGGTGTAGTTACCCTGGTCTTCAAGGAAAGAGCATTTTCTAGGTATTTCACATTTCTAACCCCTGTTTTTTCCCCCACAATGGTATGTTACAGTGATGCAACAGCATCAAAAATAGAAACATAAACAAAATAGATTTATAAATATTTATGACAAAGCTAACTAATATTGTACAAGTGCTTTTGAAAATGTTCCAAAATGGGGGTGATGCACTTCGTCTGAACACAAGTGTATAAAGTACGTGAGACAGAGATGTGATATTCTGGTGTGGAAGCAGCTCTGTGTAGGATTGTGCATTTAGTCGTACGCCACACTCGTTGCTTTCGATAACATTAAGCCAAACCAGTAATAAAGATTCTGTCTGAAAAATACTGTGCCTCTATGAAGTCCAGGATTTTTTATTTTAGAGAACAGATTTGGGCAAAGGGCTGCAAGGTGGCGCAGTTGGTAGCACTGGTGCCTCGCAGCTAGAAGGTCGCCGGTTCGCGTCCCGGTGAGCACACCTGGGTTTTTCTGCGTGGAGTTTGCATGTTCTCCCAGTGCAGCGTGGGTTCTCTCCGGGTTCTCCGGCTTCTTCCCATAAGTCCAAAAACATGTTGAGGTTAATTGGTGATTCTAAATTGTCCGTAGGTGTGAATGTGAGTGTGCTTGGTTGTCTGTCTCTAAGTGTAGCCCTGTCCTCTGCCTTCACCCTAAATCAGCTGGGATAGGCTCCAGCCGGCCCGCGACCCTAGTGAGGATTAAGTGGTGTGTAGATAATGGATGGATGGAGATTCGGGCAAAAATCTGGAAACACAAAATCTCTTTTTTTTTTTTTTGTCACTTACCTTTGTGAAGGAAGGGGATGTGGTCGTCCTGCACTGGGCCGAAGTACACATCCTTCCTAAAGTAGGTCTGCTCTGAGGGGTGCGACGTCAGCAGACCCTGTCGATGGAGCCTCTTCTCTGAGAGTGAGAGGTGAGGGCAGAGTTAGGAGATACAACAGGGAGAGATTTAAATATTCATGCAAGAGTTACAGCTGGCGCTTACCTGCAGCAATCAGCCGGTCAAACCAGCGTGCTGTATTATCAAAGTGATTCGCAATCAGTGGATCTGGACCACCGAGCAGGTCGAGCAGCACAAAGAGGTCCTGCAGAGAGAATTTAAAGATCAGAAGGTTGAAATTAAAACGCTGCATATAAGAGTTAGAAACAGTCACTAGATTTGTGTTGGTAAATTTCATTAACATTTGAATCCAGACCTTTATACAGTTGGAGGGTCAGTCCATAATAATATGATGAGACCTGCTATTGTTAAGTTGTTATTGCAGTCTGCTAAATTCAGCCTTTTCATTTATAATTCAGAGTGTGTCTGGATCGGAATGTGAGGATGACCTCGGAGGATGCGTGTTTGTGTCTGCAGTTTCCTCACCACAGCCTGGAGCATGGTGGCGTGAGAGGAGGCTGCAGGGTGAGGCGTGTTCGCCATGCGCTCGGCCAGGTGTCGAGAGCCGTACAGCGAGTCTGTAGCGGTCCACTCTTCAAACGACTCCTCGCCGTCGAAAAACACGAGCTGAAGAGACACCGGGAGTCTCTAAGAGGAAATGGGAAGAAAGTAGAAGTAATGAAATTAAAATCTACTTAAGAAACAGCAGCAAGTGCAGCCGGGTTCTCTTCCTGCAGTGTTGTCGCAGTGTGTATGCAAGTATGTGTGTAATCCTATAGTAACTACATAAATCACAGCCTCTGGAGAGATAGTGCTGTACAGATGACTGCTGCACTTGGAAGAGGGGGCTAGAGTCAGCATTTTCTATCCTATGCTGCAGCCTCAGAGGCAGAGCAATGAAACCGGAGTATATGAAAAGAAAAGGAGACTCTGGTTAGCATCTCGCACCTCAGCTCTTAATCATAGGAAGACACACGGTAAAGTAACAAATATAGAACCCAAATCTGTCTGCATCTTGAAGTTCAGCCTCTACAAACTGCCAGGACGCTGATACATCTCTAACCAAAAGACGACACATACCTGCTGTTTAAACGTCCTAAGCTGGGCATCCATAGAGGTGGCGAGCTCCAAGATCATAGCGCAGGGCACTGCTGAGTCACTGGCCCCCAGAAACACCTTCTCTGGAGCCCGGGGGTCTGGAGGCAGGACCTTGGAATCATAGTGGCAGGCCAGGAGCAGCCTCCGAGGGGCAGAGGGGTCCACAGTGGCTACGACATTGGTGAAGGTGACCTGACCACGAGGGGTTGGAGACTGGAAGGAGTCCAGGTCTATGGACCAGCCGGCAGACAGCGAGGACAGGGTGGAGGTGATGTGCTGAAGCAGGGAAGAGAGTTAAAAAATTAAGGGAGAAAGTGTGGAAAGGAGGAACATTTCTATAAATATGCACACACACCTGCTGTACAGCCAGGCTGCCTTGTGTCCCCGGGAGCCTCTCTATTAGGATGGGCCGCAGGTGAGTCTCCCACAGCCGAGTACCATCCACCTGAGAGGCCAGACGGTGGATTTGGGCTGGAGAGCACTTACTGGGTTTGTGGGACAGCTGCAGGAAAGAACGGATCGGTGGTGAGGAAGAAGAGCAGCAAGAAAAAAAAAGAACACAAACAACAAACAACAACACAGAGATGTTTCAGATACAGAGAAGGTTTTCAGCTGCAGGTCCTACTAGTCCTTGTAACATCTGAAAGGTCATCTCTGTTTCTTCAAATTAATTTTGTCCTCATCTACCTGATACTAACATTCAGTTTCTCTGTTTTGTAATTGTTACATCTGTCTGTTGTGGAAGTTCCTCCATTTTTCTCTGTAATGGTTTTATTTAGTGGATATTTTCCTTGTCTAAGGTGACAAATGTAAAACTGAAACAAGTACTGCAACTATGTTGGGAGCTACCTAATTAACTATTATAGCAAAAACCCCAAATGTTCCTGGTTCATCCACATCAATAACCTGAAGATTTGATGATTTGTGTTACGATATACAGTCGTGGCCAAAAGTTTTGAGAATGAAATGAAATGAAATGAAAAATACTTTATTCATCCCAGAAGGGAAATTCAATAATAGAATGACACAAATATTAAATTTTCACAGGGTCTGCTGCTTCACGGTTTGTGGGTGTTTTTGTCAGATGTTTCTATGCTATACTGAAATATAATTACAAGCATTTCTTAAGTAGCAAAAGCTTTTATTGACAATTCATGCAACAAGTCAATATTTGCAGTGTTGACCCTTCTTTTCCAAGACCTCTGCAATTCTCCCTGGCATGCTGTCAATCAACTTCTGGACCAAATCGTGACTGATGGCATCAATGCTTGGAGTTTGTCAGAATTTATGGTCTTGAGGATTGACCACAAGTTGTCAATGGGAATAAGATCTGGGGAGTTTCCAGGACATTGACCCAAAATCTTTGTGTTTTGTTCCCCTAGCCATTTAGCTATTACTTTTGCTTTATGGCAAGGTGCTCCATCATGCTGGAAAAGGCATTGTTCATCACCAAATTGCTCTTGGATGGTTGGGAGAAGTTGCTCTTGGAGGATGTTCTGGTGTCAGTCTTTATTCATGGCTGTGTTTTCAGGCAGAATTGTAAGTGAGCCCACTCCCTGGACTGAGAAGCAACCCCACACATGAGGATGCTTTACTGTTGACATGACACAGGACTGATGGGAGCGCTCACCTTGTCTTCTCCCAACAAGCTTTTTTCCAGATGCCCCAAACAATCGGAAAGAGGATTCATCAGAGAAAATGACTTTGCTCCAGCCCTCAGCAGTCCAATCCCTGTACCTTTTGCAGAATATCAGTCTGTCCCTGATGTTTGTTTTCTGGAGAGAAGTGGCTTCTTTGCAGCCCTTCTTGACACCAGGCCTTCCTCCACAAGTCTTCGCCTCACTGGGCGTGCAGATGCACTCACACCTGCCTGCTGCCATTCCTGAGCAAGCTCTGCACTGGTGGTGGGCCGATCCAGCAGCTGAATCAACTTTAGGAGACAGTCCTGGCACCTGCTGGACTTTCTTGGGTGCCCTGGAGCCTCTTTTGCAACACCTCTCTCCTTGAAGTTCTTGATGATCCGTTAGATGGTTGATTGAGGTGCAATCTTACTAGCTGCTGTAAACTTCCCTGTAAAGCCCTTTTTGTGCAACGTAATGATGACTGCACGTGTTTCCTTGCAGGTGACCACAGCTAACAGAAGAGGAGCACCATCCTCCTTTTAAAGCATCCAGTCTGTTATTCTAACTCAGTCATGACAGATTGATCTCCAGCCTTGTCCTCATCAACACCCACACCTGTGTTAATGGGAGAATCACTGAAATGATGTTAGCTGGTCCTTTTGTGGCGGGGCTGAAATGCAGTGGAAAGGTTTTTATTTTTGGGGGGATTCAGTTCATTTTCAAGGTAAAGAGGGACTTTGCAATTAATTACAGTTGATCTGATCACTCCCCATAACATTCTGGAGTATATGGAAATTGTCATTATAAAAGCTGAAGCAGCAGACTTTGTGAAAATTTAATATTTTTGTCATTCTCAAAACTTTCGGCCACGACTGTATGATAGTAAGGTGAATATCTTTGGGTCTTGGACTGTTGATCAGGTAAAACACATCAAATATTTCAACTTGGAACTCTTGGACGCTGCGATGGGCACTGCTCTCTGTTTTCCTGACAGGAATACTCACATGTTGTACAGATTTCGTCTGATCTTGGACAACTCAAACAAAACTGACTTGAGTATAGAACGACAAGAATGGATACAGGTGGTGGGAAACACGATCAGTGGCAACACCTGCTCAGCTACAGCGACTAAGGAATGCTGTCAATGATCTGTTTGGAACATGATCAGGCCTGCAACTGACAGTTATAGTCAATACTTACTTTTTATAGTTGTTCTTTTACTTTATCAATGATTTGGTGTCTAACATGTCCTGAAATAATGACAAATATCCTTCACAATTTTCTTAAGTCAATGTATTCACCCTACCAAAATAGATTCAGCTTATAATTGTACAAAACAGAGAAAGGCAGCATGTGTTCAGGTTGGCCATTTTTGCTTGAAAATTCACTTGATGACTATGTCATCACAATACTTATGTTAGATTTGGTTCTGGGTGAAAGGGGATACTGTTTGATTTACTTTAGTATGGGGATTTCTCAAAGTTTAGTTCACAGTAAGAGCTGCACAGCTGTCAGCAATAAATCAGAAATGGTATTTTCCACAAAGTCAAACTCTGTGAATTCTTGACAGTGTTACAAACAAATGGTACTTTCATCACTGAGAAGTTCATTTTTAGGTTAAAGAACAGATGCAAGAAATCGTTGAAGACCACAACTGCACTCAACAGTTATTTCCATTGTCAATAGATCTGTTGATTAATTTCTTGATTAATCGATGAGCGGTTTGATCTATAAGATGTCAAAAAAGGAGAAAAGTGCCTATCAGTGTTTCCCAAAGCCAAACACGACATTCTCAAATGTCTTGTTTTGTGCACAACCCAAATATATTCCCGTCACTGCTATTTAGGAGCAAAGAAACCACAAAACTGGAATCAGAGGATTTTTTTCCTCCTTAGAGATATATTCAAATTGATTAATCAATTATCAAACTCTATAAATACTCTTATTTAAATGAATGCATTTCAAGTAAACACTCACTGTGTTGCTCAGTGTGACTCTGTGTAATAGAATTATCACACTTGCTTTGTTGTAGCTCGTTTGTACCTCAATGCACAACAATGTGTCTAATTTTTTATAAAATTATGAAAAAGTTTGCACGTAGAACCTTAAATATTGAAAGTAAGGAATAACTACAGCTGTCAGACAACTGTATAAATGATCACAATAATTTGTCATAATTAAGTTATCACGATAAATAATTATATTGTGCATGATGTAAGTAACATAATATAGGGGGAAAACAAAGCCTTTAATAATTGCATAGTACTTGAAATAATTCATTTTCCATCACTGTATCTGCTTAATGTGAGGGTTAACATGACAATGCACCACTCCCTGGCTGTAATTTCTGACATCTGAGGTGCACTGAGGATATAAATCTGTCCCACTGTGTGTAAGTGAAGTTTTAAAGTGTGCTTATGTTGCTGTCTGGCCTCTTACCCTGTCTCTGGTCAGGTCTGCGGCTGGCAAGCGGCTCACGTGTCTCCCTGCGGTGTCGTTGGACAGGTAGACTCCCAGCACCACCGCCAGCACCAGGACACCGAGCAGACACAGCAGCAGGACCCGGGCCCGCGGCATCCGCACCCGGTCACAGCCAGGGAAAGAGCCGCCGCCGTTGCTCTGCTGCAGAGGCTTGTACCGCCGACTGGACCTGGACATGGCTGAAGAAACGGCGTCTGTCTGCCGTCGGTCGGTCGGTTTGGTTTAACAGCTACGTGTCCCAGCCGTAGGAGGGAATAAACACAGGAAGAGAAGCAAGCCCGGGGGAAGCTGCTCGGCGGTTACATCTGCAACAGCCCCTTTCAACACAGTAACCCATCGTTAGCTTCTGAAAGTCGGCTCCCGTGCGTCGGCGCGACTCTGACAGCCCGGTGGTTTGAAGACATGGCTGACTTTTAAGGGCGGTTTCGCTCAAGTTAATCCAGGTTTAGTCACAATTTAGACAGAAACTGCTTCATTCAGTCCCCGTAGCTTCTGTCGTTTAGCAACCAGCAACTCTTCACTGGGCTGTCAAACTCCAGCAGCAGCTACGAATGAGGAAAATGTCATCAAAATAGCCATGCAGCAAAGTTGTCACAACTCTCAAGATGCAGAAGTCCATTTAAAATGTATAAATGTTTCGTCTTCTCATCATGGGACATCTCAATAGAGATCTAATGGCGTTACTTCTTTGAGGCTCTAATGGGGGCTGCAGAACCGCTGTGTGGTGCGTTACCGCCCCCTGCCGACCGGGAGAGGAGCTGCTGAAAAAAACAGAACAGAAGACAATAAAATAATTTTTTAAAAGTTCTAAAAAAAATTACCTACAAATACAAAAAACAAATAAGTGTGCACAACTGCTCTTCTTGTACCTTGCTCAGCTAGTTTCCTTTTACTATGCTCCTCTGCTGTTTATCATTTTTCCCCTCTAAGCAATATCTTGCACGAGAATTTCCTTTAAAATGAACAAGCAATTTAAGAATAATGAATAAAGAATAATAAACCTAAAGATGTTTAAGTAGATATTTTCTATTTTATGTTATATTGACATTCCAGATATCCAGGTTTGTTTGTTTAAAAAAATTGGACACTGTATACATATTACTTAGATTTTTATTACTTCACTAAATAAAACATATAATCAATACTGCCTGTCCAATATGTGTATGTGTTCCATATGTTGACATAGATATTTTTGTATTTTACATTATATTGAGATTTTAGATATACATGTATTTTTATCTTTGCATACTTCACTATACTTTCTATGTTATAGATTTCTATTTACTTCTATCTTGTGTCTAGTGCAGTGTAGTCTGGTCTTGTCTTATCTTGTTAAATAAATATATAATCCTATTAAATAAATAAGCGCGGCTATGGTATAAATCTTGAAATAAATGAGGTAATAAATATGTAAATAAATTGATTCATAAAATTATTTTTTAAAGGATATTTTTGAAAGGACTTTTATTTATTTCACAATTACACATTTATTTGTTTCAGAGTTTATTTAATAGCCATATATATTTATTTCAAAGGAACATGTATAATGTTTGTATGTCTGTATTTAATTTTGAATAAAATAAATACACGTGACTATGACACAAACAGTGAAATAAAAAAAAAAAGGTAACTTGAAAAATTGTCTTTTGAAAAACTAAAACCCATTTGTTTAATTCTTACATTTCTTTAAAAATGTATCACTTAATTAACTTTTTTCGGAACTTATTTCATAGAAAAATGTATTTAACATTGAGCACACAAAAAGGTGGGAAATAATTAAATACATAGTCTGTTTTCATAGAACTGATCTGATACCTGCTTCACAGTCCTGCGTGAATTTATGAAGTCCCAAATCGGGCAGAAATTAAGTAAAGGATTAAAGATTCTTTGTATTCATCAATAAACATCATGTATTAGTGAAACAATATAAGTAGAGTGTAATATGACATAAACTTCGCTTCCTCTCTGTTCCCTTGCTTGCTTCAGTTTGCAGTATCTAGGAGTGTATAAGAGTGTATCTCTAAGAAATTCATAATAAAATACTGTGTAAAAGCATAAAGTGGATGTATTTTTGTGCCTTCTGTTAGGGGTAATGACGAACAAAAACAAACTGAAGTGTTACATGACCTACTTCTTTCTCCCGCCAGATATGTAGATCAGAATGGGAAGCCGGTACTCGAACAAGGTGGTGATTGGTCTTTAGAGATTAAGGCCCGCCTTCTCTTGCTGCTGATTGGCTGGAGATTCGTGTCAATCTCCTCTCCCAACGGTTCCGCCTTCCGTACAAATACACCGTTCGCGGGATTTTTGGAGTCATTCGCGCTTTTCTCCTGGAGCCTGGCCGGAGTTCGTGTTTAGCCACATCTTCTGATACCGCGGAGAGGTTGAAGCTGTAGCTGGAGAGCTGCTGTTTTCTCTGAAGAAGAGTAACACCACAGTCTGCCAGCATGCATGTGATAAAGCGAGGTGAGCCGTGCGTTTCCGTTGCTATGGAGCTACAGGCCTCAGTTAGCCTCAGTGCCAGTAAAGTAGCTTTCCCGGTTTTTGTGAAGTGACAGCGACTCTTCTGCTGCTTCAGCCTGACTGATCAGAAGTTATATCACACAACCGAAACTTACACGCCATGTTTGAGTAGCTAAAACGGTCTGAGTGAGCCTGTTGGCTAACGTTAGCTAGCAGTTATGCTAGTTGTGAGTTAACCTTTAGCTAGTTAACCAGCAGGTTCAAGCCACACTGCCAGTGTTTCACTCAACTAAGTAGAGTTGGGTGCTCATTTCAGAAGGTTTCGCTATATGACCAGCTGTCCAGCAAGCTTAACTCAGCGTTAAAATGTAGTTGGAGAGTATGTATTTTCAAATTTAGGTGTTTATGGACTCGGATGTGAGCCTTTGTTAGACATGGCGCCAAAAGCTAAGATTTATTGGTCCACCTGCATGATTGTCTGGACCTCAGTGAGGTTCTGGTTGGCCATTTACCTGTAGCAAGAAATAAACTGATAGGGACCAGAGTTTTAAACAAAAAAAAAAAAAACCAGACCTTAGTGTGGAGGCCAGATGGATGCACGGACTGTGGAGTTTTCATTGTCAGGAAGACAAAACCCTGATTTTACAACTATGTTGGATCTTTGAACATCATCGTCAAGTAGTTAAGTTCAGGGCTGAAACCAAACATTAAAACCATGGTCATTTTTTGCTGCTGTCTGTACCAGAGAGGTGTGCTCTGTTATGGCTGGACCGCAGCATTTGTAGGCCGTAGCATCACTGTAGCATCACAGTGCTTTGATTGCAATGGAATTGTGTGAGGCACCATTTTTGCAATTCTGATAAGATTCAGTTCATTTTTTCTGACAGAACAGACATGATATCAAGATTACAATAGTGCTGCTGCAAATTTTTATTTTCACTGTTGATCATTTTCTTGATTAACTCACTAATTGCTTGCTCTATAATATGTCAGATGGTGAAAAAAGTAATATAGTTCAGACCAGAATAATAAGTGTGAAATAGTTTGTGCCCTTCCATTCACTGTGTTCGAACAATGAAAGGATGTCAAATGTAGCAGAACAGAAGACGATGTACTCTTTGGTCCAAAGGTCCCATTAGTGTGGCTGAAAAGGAATCTGGATGCCTAATGCCAACTGATGCATGAATGTTACTCTCAGAACAAAGTGCACAGAGAAAACAAAAAAATAGTACTGTTTATTACGAGTTCCATTTATATGAAATGAATATAGTTTCTTGATCTCATTGGATCTTTTAACGAATGCCGATAAATATTTTCACGTGTTTGTTAATTAGTGTCATGTTGCTCACAACTTTAAATGATTGAACATGTGTACATATTTTTGTTTTTCAGATGGACGCCAGGAACGCGTCATGTTCGACAAAATCACCTCTCGCATCCAGAAGCTTTGCTACGGGCTGAACTCTGACTTTGTGGACCCGGCCCAGATTACCATGAAGGTGATCCAGGGTTTGTACAGCGGAGTCACCACTGTGGAGCTCGACACGTTGGCTGCAGAGATCGCTGCCACTCTCACAACTAAACACCCCGACTACGCCATCCTCGCTGCTCGGATCGCTGTCTCTAACCTGCACAAGGAGACCAAGAAAGTGTTCAGCGACGTCATGGAGGACCTGTACAACTACGTCAACCCCTTGAACAAACGCCACTCCCCCATGATCTCAAAGGAGACGCTCGACATTGTTCTTGAGAACAAAGACCGCCTCAACTCGGCCATAATCTTCGACAGAGATTTCTCCTACAACTTCTTCGGCTTCAAGACTCTGGAGCGCTCCTATCTGTTGAAGATCAACGGCAAAGTGGCCGAGCGTCCGCAGCACATGCTCATGAGGGTGTCCGTAGGAATCCACAAAACGGACATCGATGCAGCCATCGAGACCTACAACCTGCTGTCGGAGAAGTGGTTCACCCACGCCTCCCCGACTCTCTTCAACGCTGGAACCAACAGGCCACAGCTGTCCAGCTGCTTCCTGCTCGCCATGAAAGACGACAGCATCGAAGGCATCTATGACACTCTGAAGCAGTGTGCCCTCATCTCCAAGTCGGCTGGAGGCATCGGTGTGGCGGTCAGCTGCATCAGATCCACAGGAAGCTACATCTCTGGTACCAATGGCAACTCCAACGGGCTCGTCCCCATGCTGAGAGTTTACAACAACACGGCGCGTTACGTCGACCAGGGTGGCAACAAGAGACCCGGAGCCTTCGCCATGTACTTGGAGCCGTGGCACTTTGACGTGTTCGACTTCCTCGAGCTGAAGAAGAACACAGGAAAGGAGGAGCAGAGGGCCAGAGACCTTTTCTACGCCCTTTGGATCCCCGATCTGTTCATGAAGAGGGTGGAGAGCAACCAGGACTGGTCTCTGATGTGTCCCAACGCCTGTCCTGGACTGGACGAGTGCTGGGGGGAGGAGTTTGAGGAGCTCTACACCAGGTATGAGAAGGAAGGGAGGGCCAAGCGTGTGGTGAAGGCTCAGCAGCTGTGGTACGCCATCATCGAGTCGCAGACGGAGACGGGTACGCCGTACATGCTGTACAAAGACGCCTGCAACAGGAAGAGCAACCAGCAGAATCTGGGCACCATCAAGTGCAGCAACCTCTGCACAGAAATCGTCGAATACACCAGCCATGACGAGGTAGCGGTCTGTAATCTGGCCTCCATCGCCCTCAACATGTACGTCACCCCGGAGCGGACTTTTGACTTTAAAAAACTGGCGTATGTCACCAAAGTAATCGTCAAAAACCTGAACAAGATTATCGACATCAACTACTACCCAGTGCCTGAAGCTGAGAATTCCAACAAGCGCCACAGGCCGATCGGAATCGGAGTGCAAGGTTTAGCAGACGCCTTCATCCTCATGCGTCACCCGTTTGAAAGCCCCGAGGCTCAGCTGCTCAACATCCACATCTTCGAGACCATCTACTACGCTGCTCTGGAGGCGAGCTGCGAGCTGGCAGCCGAGTTCGGCCCCTACGAGACGTACGAGGGCTCCCCAGTCAGCAAGGGCATCCTGCAGTACGACATGTGGGAGAAGACGCCGACCGACCTGTGGGACTGGAAGCTGCTGAAGGAGAAGATCGCCAAAAACGGCGTGAGGAACAGCC